CGCCGGTTTGCCGGGGCCGCCAGGTTGCTCGCAGTCCGCAGCCGAGTGTGGCGATTTGGGCACACGAGACGCCAACACAGACGCGGCGCGGTTGTGCACACAAACAGCAGCGGAGTCCATGCGCGCGCCGCGTTTTCGGTTGCATTGCAACACACTTTGGCACGAGCTAAACCGAAGGTTTCCCGGGAAACCTTAAACGACCCTGCCCGAGCGGAGTCCATTGATTTCTAGGTCTCACAGCGTCACTTTCTCTATAATATTGAGGTATAATGCCGCCCGAAGTAGAAACGCCCGGGATATCATTATCAATATGATATTAACGGCGAAATTGTCTAGCTCGTACAGGAGCGAGAAAGAAAATCGAAATGGTGCTCCTCTTTCAACAGAATAAATAACGTCACGACCTGAGTTCTTGAAAATATTCCAAGCGATGGAACCCACATCTAGCGTAGCGAGTATCTACTTAGGAGCAGGAATTCAAGACTTACATTACAACTGCAGCGATTTATTTTTTTCGCCAATATACCGTATTTCACAGGAAACTCGACGTTGTACACATCGTCCTCCTTCTGAAAGAGAAACTCAGTCGCCATCGCAAGTCGGCATCTGCTATCCAATGCGCCCTGGTTCGGATTGAGAGCCATATTGACCCTCGAGAGACGAGAATCGTCGGTCGCCCGGGAGAACGCAAGCGTTTCTGGTGGGGTCCATTTGACTAGCTTCGCACTGTCGGTCCCAGTCCTCCGTAGCCGGGATGCGATGCTCTTGCGGTTTTCCGGTGCGTTTTCATGAAAAAACTCTAACACCTCGCGGAAAAATCCTCTATCATTTTTGTGGCATCCACTGGAGAGAGCGGTGGAGCTATATTTTCTCGGAACTACCAGCGCGCTCCCAAAGTCGTATTGATAAGCAGTAGCCGGGTTGCAAGTCTCACGCGCCATTGTCATAAGCAGTCGCACCTGCATGGTGAAATTGTCGAGTGAATATCATGAGCTGGGTGTCAGACAATTGAGCCGGAGGTGCTCCACGAAGAAGTGAAAATTGGGACATTAAAAGTCGTTAAATGCCAGTGCAGTCGTATACGTAATGAAAGAATGCGCACATGACTTACACTCCAGGGCGTCAGGTTTGGCGGAGCCGCGCTTTCCGGTCCCTCGATCATCCTCTGGAAAGACTGCAGGTGGCGTCTTCCTAGATCAATATCTGCATTCCAATAATCTCGAGGCAGTTTGGTTCCAACTTTTTCCCGCAGCACTTCCAGAAAGAGGTCCTCGCAGCTTTCCGTTCGGTTTGCGAGTGTTCGGTCATCCGTGTTTTGTGCCAATGCCGCCACTGCTACCTTCTTCCCTTCGGCATCTTTTTGCGAATGCAATTTGCTTGCATTGAGCAATGCTCCCGCGTCCGCTGCGGACAAGAAACTCAGAATGCCCTCGTTTGCGTTTAGCTGCTGGTTACCAAACATCATCAGGGCGGGTTCGCTGCTTTTGATGTCATCGAGCATGTTCCGGTGTTTTCGTCGACCCCCCTTGTTCCCAACTGGCTCCGCGCGACGTTGCTCTCGCAGTGCATCCTCTTTTTCCAGCAGCTCACTCTGCTGTGGTTCGCCTTTTCGCCCTGCTGCAGCAATATTTGGATTTGTAGAAGTTATTCCCACCACTCGGTCGTCCAGCTGCGGCCTCAACCGCCCCGCACATGTTTTTCTCAGCACGTTTCGCACGGTTGCAACCAGGCGGGTCCTTGCAGATATTTCAGTTTCCTCGGCCGTAGACGCTCCCGCTGTGCTTCCGCAGAAAAGAGAAATCGCGAATAACAACAGCAGCAGCCGTTGTTTCAGCTGTTGACGAAGCCGCATGGTACTTTCACCGGTCTAAGTTATCTGTATCTCGCCTGTCAACATGCCCTGATGTATAATTAATAACTGGCGCTACTTGAAGCCCCGCCGCGAAACATAATTTTCCGAGCCGCAATGACACGACAGCACAAAACTAGCAGATAATTACTTTTGGTAATATCGCTTTGTATCGCTTTGTATAGCTGGGAGAAACAGGTTGGCGCCACTGTAGAATAGAGGGGGACGGAGGTAATCAATGGAGGTGCCAAATCCTATGGATACTAGAATCTTCAGCAGCAAGTTAATGAAGGAGCGGAAGTTGCTTTGTTTGCATTTCCATCTTTGTTGCGGTAGCAAGAATCTTGCTCTATGTTGGTTTGTATATCGGAAATAGCTTTGTCATTCTTGGAGTGCATATTGATACTACAACCGGGACTGCCTCGAACTCCAATCGAATCGAATCTTGATTTGTTAATTTGAAGCCTTGCAATTGCCATCTCGTCTCCCACGTGTTAAATATAAATGGAAAGTTCAAAAAGCGAGCCAGGGAGAATCAACATTCAAGACATGACGCGAAGCCGGTTCAGTTCTTGTTTGAATGTAACATCTGCGAGCGGCGTATATTTTCCTCATGGCGCTCGCGTTCGCAACTCTTCATGCCTAGCCCAGAGAGCCGTGGCAATGCGTATCCTACTGCAGCCTCTACACAGCTTTCTTTTGCAGCGTCAACGCTTTTTTCCGATGGAGTTGGAACTACATCTCAGCAGCACTAACCGGAGTGGGAATGACAACTGAAAACTCGCTCGGATTTGCGGCCAAAATACGTGGCGGCCTGCGATCGTCCATACGTCGGGTGTCATAATAGGAAGTGTTCTGTAGCCGTGCGGCATGATGGCTTCGCCAGTCCCATTGGAATTGATCGTACGACCAACGCAGGCTGACGCCGTCTGATTCTGTTCGCCACCGTCGCTCATAAGTGCGAAAAAGTCTCCGAAAAGATGTATACCAAGCTGCGTCAATGGGGTCTTGTCTGGAATAGTCGTCTTCGACGTCTGATACGTTCGCGTCCGGATCCGAATTTAGGCAGTAACCTGAGGTGACCATCAAAACTATTGAATTTACTGACTTTTTGCGTCATGCAGATTTTCATCGCATACTTACCACTCTGCAACGATCAACATGAAGCCATGTCGCATTTGCACACGTCGGTCGGCGCGATGAGGGAATTGTTCATAGGAGTAATCAAAAGAAAATGCACTTGAAATGATAAATCACCAGTGAGGTGGCATTTTTCCTAGCCGTTTAGGGTGGGGGATGAAGATAGTGAGCGAGCAAACAAATAGATACCATGCTTCACGAAGAAAAAGGGTGTGTCGTAGACAACCGCGTGTCTCTGAAAGAGGAGCTCCGTTGCCATTGCAAGTCGACATCTGCTATCCAAGAGGCCCCGATTGGGATTGCTCGCGATTGCCCGCGCAGCCAAAGTTCCATTGAATCCATTGGTCTCCTGCGGGGGATTCCAAATTACAACATGCTTTCCCTTCTCAGACGTACGATCCGACCGTGAAACTTCCGCGTGGAAAAAGTCCAAAACCTCGCGGAAAAAATCCCGGTCACCCGCATGGCAACCCTTTTGAAGGTTCTCCGACGCGTACCTATCCTGCAATATCGCGGTTTCGTTTTCGCTGGTGCTGTAGGATCTGAGGGGACTGCAGGTCTCGGCCGCCATCGACATCAACAACAGTACCTGTTCAAATTTCAGATTTGGAACGTGTGGCTTTTTCAGACAAAATATGGCGCTATCCCGTATCTAGTACAGTGTAAATTATGGGAGAATTATTCAATTCTGCTTCTATCAAGTGGATAAGATATAACCTTCGATCACGTGCAACAAACTGGTAAGTACGCTCCAGTCGGTCTCGCCGGCAGTCTGTTTCCTTCTTCTCGGCGAGTCCAGACGGCACTGGAACTTCGCCAAGAAATCAGAATGCCCATCGACCTGGGGGTTCCAGTAGTCCCGCGGCTTCTTCGTCCCGACTCGCTCGCGCAGAACCTCCAGCCACAGGTCCTCGCAGCTTTCCGCGCGGTTTTCCAGCTTGCTGTCGTGTCTGTATTGTTCCCACGCAGCAGCTTTCACGCTGTTGTTCTCGCTTGCATTAGATGTGGACGGCGCACCGCGATCTTCTTGTTCAACATCGTCCGTGTGCTTTTTACTCGTCTGCAGCACAGCAACCGCTTCTTTCGGGGAGAGAAAGCTCAAAATACCGTCTTTTTCGTGTAGGAGCGAAGTTCTCGTAGAATTTCCTGACAGCAGAAGGCCCCGCTCCCTGAGGGTCGGCTGACCGAGCAAACCTGTGTTGCTTACAGGGTTCGAAGCCTTGCGCCCTTTCTGACCCATCATGGTTCGAGGACAGGCCACAAGATCACCAGATGATGAATCCCTTGTACCCTCATTCGCCACGGTTTTTTCTGTTCTTGGCATAACTGCATCCCCATCCGCGCCTTCTACAGGTTGTGTAGCTTCGCTGCTTGTCGAAAAATCATGGCTTTTTGATGATGTAGAAAAAATTTCGGAGGTCTCAGGCCCGGGTATCATACTAACGAAACTAGTAGCAGGAGCAGTGCGGCTCCACTTCCGCCCACCAGTGCTGCAGCCAGGCTTGCTCGTATTCCCAGCCTGGCTGTCTCGGCTTTCTGAGCAGCTGTGTCCTGCATTTCTTTGCTCCGGACCCACAGTTCTTTGTCGCAGTTCAGTTCGCCGTTCCTCCCCGCCGCGTTCCGCAACGGGTCCCCCAACTGCACCTTCAACCTTGTCCTGTTTCGGCCTTCGCCGCCTCGAGCACGTCTTTTGCAGTATGGCGTCTCGCACGGTGGCCAAAAAATGCCTGCCCGAAGAATGATGTGGCTTTGCCGTAGCAAAAGCTGACGGTGGAAGGACTGCGCGCGTCCCGGCCAGTTGTCCAGACGCCACAGCTTCCGCCCTAATTTCAGTTTCTAACGCACGTAGACAATTGGAAAACAGCAACAGAAGTTGTCGGCGAAAACGCATTTTGGAGTTTTCTTTGTTCGCCCTGTCTTGAGAAAAGGTAGGAAAGCTGTCCTCTCGTGGTGGTGCTTACTAGCACTAGCCACAGGCCGGCACTTCTAGACCAGTGAATAGTACAATTACGAACAAATCATGGAGATAACGTTCAGACACCTCTACACAGACTACCACTATCCTACAACAAATTCTGTTCTAAAAAGTTAAAGTGGCGGTATTACAGCGAAACATAATTTTTACACAGGTGCCGCTGCAGGAGGAAAGAGGAGGGCTTTTTCGAGGACGAGGACCCTTCATTTTTGAATCAAGGCTTAGTCCAGATGGCATACTTACTCCACGTTGACCCACTAGTACTAAGGTGCACCATACTTTTCTCCATGTTTTCATCTCAATCATTCTGCTTATTCTCAGAAGAATAATTATTATAATTCTGGCCAATGACAGTGCGCCTGCGCACGTGCATAAGAGGATCGTACAGGAGGCACGAGGATCTTGAATTCCCATGGGAGCCTCATAAATTCATACATTTTACCCGTCCTGGCCTGCCAACCATCTCCGGACCACGACCCCGCCATTGTCGTGTCTTGCGAGTATGCATTTCGACCCCAGTAGCTCGTAGGACACGAGGACACGAACTAGGTCCTTCACTGCCGAAGGACATTGCTCAGCCCCTCCTGCTGAACAAAAACTGAACTATCTTGAGATTTGTAGCATAAGCGTTAGCCTTGGTTATTGACCAGTTCCATTTCGCCGGCAAGACTATACCACGGAATCCTACATTTACAAAAGCGCACTCTGCTAAAAAAATAGGATATTTTTCATCGTACATTCCATATCGTATTCAAGCCTGCACCCCACATCAGCTTCGCTCCTGAGACTCGTTTGCGATGTCGTCGATTTTGGAAGGATAAAAGACCAGATATCGTTTCGGACTGTTAGTGAGCCTTTTCGGCACAAGTGGCGCGCCTCTATCTAAAAGCTTTTCGTATGATCCGCGATCCCTCAATCGCTGTGCATGGAGGCTTCGCCAGTCCCACTGAAGTTGGTCGTACGACCAACGGAGCCCTACACCATCGGAGCCACTCCGCCACTTCTTTGCAAATTTCCGAAACATTTTTCGGAAAAATGGGTACCAGTTTTCGTCTAGCGGTTCCCTTCTAACTGGCGTTACCCAGAGACGTGGGTCGGTAGCATTTATCAATTCTGGGTTCAGGCAGTAACCTGTATTGTTTATGGATATGTTGCCCTTCGAATTAGTTTTAGACACAAATAAAGGTCTACCTCGTCGAGGTAGACCAGTCGAACAAGAATAGCACGGCTCGCACCATCGCTCGGCCAGGTGCTCAAGCCACAGCGATTCAGAACCAAAACGAAGCCAGGCATAGTCGGAGAGGAGGAGCAAATAAGATAAGCCTCAAGGGGAAGGGTTGGGTACACAGGATAGCTAGTTTCACATGGGAATAAGTGCGCGGCCTGCTGTAGTGTGGGTATATCGATATCCACGTACGTCCAGTAGGCAGCCGTAACGGACACATTCCCATCACTCAACGAAGACACACGCATTTATCGACTTACCGTGCTTCACCGGAAATGGCAGCGTGTTGCACACAAGATCATAGTTCTGAAACAGAAACTCCGTTGCCATAGCCACACGGCACCTTCGATCCAAAATCAACGGATTTGGATTCCGCGCCATGTTCACTTTCCTAGCGAAGTCAGACGGAGAAACAGGGAGGCCTTCCGACGCCTTCCAGCTCTTCCTGTAAAAAGCGTGCGCGACCGGTGGGTTCCAAACTACCACATGTCGCACCGAAACAGCTGCAGTCTGAGTTTTTTTGCTTCTATCCACCGTTGCACTTCGGGTCGCAGATGATTCTTCGTGGAAAAAATCCAGAACCTCGCGAAAAAATGCCTTGTCGCTTTTGTGGCACCCTTTTCGAAGCTTGTCCGAGTCGTAGGTCGGCAAGATGGAAAGGCCCACACTGCCTGCAGTTTCGTACAACGTGGCCGGATTGCACGTCTCCCTAACCATGGTCATCAGAAATCGCACCTGAAACAGAAGGTTAGAGTTGAAATTTTACAGATGCATAGATAGTATCTATTCAAAGG